CAAAATAAACTATTGGTGCAATTACATATGAAACAAAAAAAAGACCGATTTGTAATCAGTTGTGTTGTTTCGAAAACACAGACATTAAGTCAGAAAAGGAATCTGTTTTTAAGATTTTTAAGATAAGATTAAGATTTTTAACCAGATAAAATTGTGATTTTTAATCCAAAGCTTTAAAGTCTTGCAAAGTGGCTGCATTTCCAGCATATAACTTTCAAACATGTCTTTGTAGACACTGATTAACCCATAAGAGTTTTTATTTTTATCTTAACTTTAAATCAAGCCATGTTCCTGCTCAGTCCCATTAGCCAATACATAACCCACTCATACCAAAGCGTAATGTTTTTGAAGCGTTTGAGTGTGACGAAAATGTCTAAAAATGTTCCAGCAGTACACACGGCAGGTTTCCATAGCACACAAGTTCCAGCAGAGAACAGTAGCTCTCAAAGTTGGACCCAGAAATCTGCAGTTTCTGTGGCCCTTTGCTTTTGTTGTTGGTCATGTGTACATATTTAGAAGCAGGTTTATGGGACTACTGCCCACCGTGTTTCATTACAGTTAGTCAGCAGGCACGCATCCCGTCCCAGTAATGAAGTGGGTGTTGCAGTGGGTGGATTTAAACGGCCACTATTCTGTATTCTGGCTGCAAGGGCTGAGCGGTGGAGAAAAAGCAACAGTGCGGGCAGCATGGCAGGGTGACAGAAAGCGAGATGGACCAGCAGACCAACCACAGAACCACGAACCTTCAGCAGTGTGTCTTTACATAAGTGTCAGGAAAAATGGAGAATCACATTTCAAAGCCCAGTAAATAAAGTTTGTATTGATTAAATCTAACATGTAATCTGTTTTGCTGTCTGACACTGATTCTAGCAATAAAAAAGAATCCTGTAAGACAGCATTCCAGATAATACGACCATAGATCAAATGGAGTTTGGGCAAGAGAAGGGCAATAGATCATGTTCAAGCCAGACTGCTTAGCTCTGGAATTCGAATACTCGCTCCTAAATCTTGGTGGCTTTCAGTTTAAGTTTTCAATTTACAGATGGAGGATTTTCTGCAGGTTTTCAGAGGACTGGGGTGTGCATCTGTTTCAATCTGCTGCGCCCAAAATAATTAAACCACACAAAATACAAGCTACTGACAAATAAATAAAAAAAAATAAAAAATGATCCATGAACCTTCATCTGAAGATGACATGTACATCTTCAGATTGTTTATGCTATTTATGTGCTTTACAAATAATGTAATGTACATTACAATGTATTACCTTTCTTATGAGATGAACATAACATTCTGGTACTTTAACTTTTTTAAATTGTCCTATTGTATTCATAATTTTTGCGTGGCGTATGCTCCTGTTGAACAGTCATTATAAAATTATATTTATTAATATTACATGAGCTATAATCATGTTTGATTTGAAGGTAATATAGTATAAAATTGTGTTATTCCTAAACTCTCTCACTACTACAGATTGTTTTGTTGACTGCATCTCTATTAACAGCAGCTGACAGGAGGACTGAGTTGTGTTATTTGCAACTTTGATGTTATTTTCACTGAAAACGAACCGAATGACACCAAAGTGAACGACCAACTTTACAGTTTATGTTAAATGATATTCCTGCCTCTAAAAATTGCACGAGTGCATAAAGAGTAACCTTTGTTCAACAGTTCAGTTATGGGCTTTCAAGAAGTAAAGGTGCTACTACCACCTTGTGGCGATGGAGATTACATCAGACAACACGTGCAGATAACACACAAGTAAAAAGTGACATTGCATTTGGTCAAAACTAGAGGTAATGACATTTAAAAAGGTTATACTCACGTGTTAGTTCCTGTCTATAATATAGAAGATTTTTTTTTTTTTCCCAAGACAGTAAATCAATTTATGAGGCAGGTAAGTGCAGTATTTTAAGACACTACTGCCCTCTAGCGTTTGACAAAGCTTGTGCAAATTTGCTTTTTCCCCACAACAGTCTGCATGTACTGAAAATGTTCATCAGGTGGCAAAACACCAGCCCAGATGTGCACAGCTATAAGCCAATGTCAGCTTCACACGTTTTGCAAATAAAAACACATTTATCTTTTTAGAAACAGGAATATATTGTGATGTGACCTCTTTGCCATTTCAAAGCACGGGCTGTCACATGACACTTGGTCCTGAACACATCCACCCAGTGTGTCAACATGTAGGTGCTTAAATATAAACACATCAGTCAGGATTCAAGATGTGATGTTGATGAAATCTTATGGTCAGATCCAGTGAGGTTAAGAGACGATGCTTGGATTTAACTTTCTTTTGTTTATTCGTTTTATTATTGGTAGCAGCTGTAGTTAAATTTATTTTTTTACAAAGTTACTGGATATATTAATTTATTATGCCGTATTCATCAACTGAAATGTTTGCTAAGCTTGCAGAAAACTGGAAAATGTTCAGCTCTGACTACATTTTTACTGACTTAATTTATGACAAGAAATAAATACTTTCATCACACTGTAGCTTTGCTCTTGGGTATATGCTTCGTTAATTTAAATTTTGTACGTCCTCAGTTTAACTCACTGACAGTACTACGCATGACTGTAAAAGTACAAGTGTTGAAAGTTTTGTACATCAGATTGTAAATGGTTAACAAAACAAAAGATTTAGATAATATGAAATATATATATATATATATATATATATATATATATATATATATATATATATATATTCAACCTTTATTTAGACAGGTAAATCCCATTGAGCCTCGAGGACTCATTTACAAGAGACCTGATTTCAACAAAGAAAGATGACAACAATGGACAACAGCAACAACAATAAACAATTATAAAAAGTCATACTGCAGGTTTTTTTTATATACATTATATACAGTATATACACTGCCTGGCCCCCAAAAAAAAGTTGCCACCAAAATAAAAGGTCACACACTAATATTTCATTGGACCGCCTTTAGCTTTGATTACATCATGCATTCTCTGTGGCATTGTTTCAATAAGCTTCTGCAATGTCACAAGACCTATTTCCATCCAGTGTTGCATTAATTTTTCACCAAGATCTTGCATTGATGACTAGGCACTGGGCATCACTTCACCTGCCTCTCTTCTTACTCTGATGTGCCCATCACTCAGGAAGAAGGTAAATCTGGACTCTCAGACCACATGACCTTCTTCCATTGCTCCAGAGTCCAATCTTTATGCTCCCTAGCAAAGTGAAGCCTTTTTTTCCAGTCTCAGTGATTAGTGGTTTTCTTAAGGCTACACAGCTGTTCAGTCCCAATTCCTTGAGTTTCCTTCACATTGTGCGTGTGGAAATGCTCTTACTTTCACTATTAAACATAGCCCTGAGTGCTACTGTTGTTTTTCTTAGATTTGATTTCACCAGACGTTTAAGTGATCGCCGATCACGATCATTCAGGATTTTTTTCAGGCCACATTTCTTCCTCAAAGACAATGGGTCCCTACTATCCTTCCAGTTTTTAATAATGTGTTGCCGACAGTTCTTAACCAGTTTTAGTAGTTTCTGCAATCTCCTTAGATGTTTTCTCTGCTTGATGCCAATAATTTGACCCTTCTCAGACAGACTGACATCTTTTCCACGACCACGCGATGTGTCTTTCAACATGGTTGTTTAAGAAATGAGAAGCAACTCATTGCACCAGATGGGGTTAAATAACTTGTTGCCAGCTGAAAGATAATCATCCATGCAGTAATTATACAATAGGAGGTGTGTACCTGTTTGCTAAGTTAAATCCAGGTAACAACTTTTTTTGGGGGCCATGCAGTGTATATAGTATGTATACAGTAGTCCCTCAATACTTTGCGATTTGACTTTCGCAGACTCACTCTTTCGCGGGTTTTCAACGTAAGATTGTACACGACACACGATGGAAGGCAACCAACCAGATCACTGTGCTGAGAGGCGGACTGGTCATCGAGAGCACCGGGACATTTCCTCGTGGCCTGGCCTGCTCAGTCATCGCCGAGGGCCCTCCTCCTTTCTCTTTCTGAGGCTGTCTGTCACAGCAGAGCAGACACACAACAGGCGGGTGTGTGTCTTTGCTCTGCTGTGACAGACAAGCTCAGAAAGAGAAAGGAGGGGGCAGGGGGTGGGATCTGTCTTTCCCCATCGCTACTGTGGGAGCTTCAGTGAGGCGGATACCAGAGCGAGCAGCATGGATCGTTTATTTTAAATAATCAAGCGCAACCCGAACCGAGTCTTTAGTCCCCCTCGACAATCACTGAGCGGGCCAGGTCACCGGGAAGTGTCCTGGTGCTCCTGATGGCCAGTCCCCCTAGGGATTGGTTCAGTAATTGTAAGATCAGTTTGTCTGCTCTTCTATGCTCTTTTAGAGTAGAGAGTTTAGAACATTGTTAAGAACACTGCAAGAGTGTGGGAAGGGTTTACAAAGACTTAAAATACATACAAATACTAAAATAAATAGAATGACCCTACTTTGTGGATTTTTACATATTGTGGAGGGTGTCTGGAACATAATCTTCGCAATAAGTTAGGGACTACTGTATATGCAAACTGGGTGTGTGACTGAAGTAAATGTGTGAAATACAGTAGTTTGAAAAACAAAATCCTAAGCAAAAAATTGCTAAATAAATAAATAAACCCAACTAGCTATAACTGTTTTGAAATACATGTAACGATGAGTAAGAATAGTAAACAAAAACCAACTGAAATTCATGATTACTACAAGCAAAAATGTTGTTTAAAACCAAAAGAGTTACATTTTTACATGAACCTCAAGTAAAGTGTCTCAGTTTTGTACTACACATTGCAATATTGGCACTTCCAATCATATTTTTCCACAATTATCTTCTGTATGCCCCATCTTAGTTGGGTTCATTATAATTTGTAAAATAAAAATAGAGCTTTAAACGTTTGGCATCTCTTAACCAACAACTATCACTGCTAGAGGCGGACTGGGATTATTTATCATCTGTGATCATTTCAGACAACCTAAAATCACTGACATACAAGCATGTCTTACCTTGTGGGCTCCAGAGAAGTAAATCTGCGGGGCTTTCCAAACACTGCTGATCTTCTCTCTGTGTTTGAGCTCTTTAGAAATTGTGAGGCATTTGTCAATGTTCAGTTCTGGATAGATTACCTCCAGCCCACCGCTTTTCAAAAGGACGACAGCAAAAAGATGAACAGTATTTTTTTAAGGTGTACAAAACAAAAATACGTTCTGAAATAAACATGATCAGCTCATTAAAAAATATACTATGGCTGAAATGAGCAAAACACACAACATTTAGTAAAAATGTTTGAAGCATGGTTGTGTTTACTTTGTAATCACGTTTATCTGAGGTATTGCGAGCTACTTACTAACAGAAAGAAGTGTCCAGAGAATCCAGTGTCATTTGTGTTGTTTCCACGTTGAAAGGCTCCAAAATTAAGACAAAAAACACCAAAAATGGAGCTAGAGCATCCTGTAGAGGAGCAGTGTTTGTTAAGAGGCATGTCGTACATTTTCATCACATAAACATACAAACCGGATTCCAAAAAAGTTGGGACACTAAATTGTGAATAAAAACTGAATGCAATGATGTGGAGGTGCCAACATCTAATATTTTATTCAGAATAGAACACAAATCACAGATCAAAAGTTTAAACTGAGAGAATGTATCATTTTAAGGGAAAAATCTGTTGTTTCCAAATTTCATGGCGTCAACAAATCCCAAAAAAGTTGGGACAAGTCCATTTTTACCACTGTGTGGCATCCCCCCTTCTTACAACACTCAACAGACGTCTGGGGACAGAGGAGACCAGTTTCTCCAGTTTAGAAATAGGAATGCTCTCCCATTCATGTCTAATACAGGCCTCTAACTGTTCAATCGTCTTGGGCCTTCTTTGTCGCACCTTCCTCTTTATGATGTGCCAAATGTTCTCTACAGGTGAAAGATCTGGACTGCAGGCTGGCCATTTCAGTACCCGGATCCTTCTCCTACGTAGCCATGATGTTGTGATTGCTGCAGAATGTGGTCTGGCATTATCGTGTTGAAAAATGCAGGGTCTTCCCTGAAAGAGATGACGTCTAGATGGGAGCATATGTTGTTCTAGAACCTGAACATAGTTCTCTGCATTAATGGTGCCTTTCCAGACATGCAAGCTGCCCATGCCACAAGCGCTCATGCAACCCCATACCATCAGTGATGCAGGCTTCTGAACGGAGCGTTGATAACAACTTGGGCTATCTTTGTCCTCTCTGGTCCGGATGACATGGCGTCCCAGTGTTCCATAAAGAACTTCAAATCGTGACTCATCTGACCACAGAACAGTCTTCCATTTTGCCACACTCCATTTTAAATGACCCCTGGCCCAGTGCAAACGTCTGAGCTTGTGGAGCTTGCTTAGAAATGACTTCCTCTTTGCACTGTAGAGTTTCAGCTGGCAACGGCGGATGGTACGGTGGATTGTGTTCACTGACAATGCTTTCTGGAAGTATTCCTGAGCCCATCCTGTTATTTCCTTGACAGTGACAATCCTGTTTGAGGTGCAGTGACGTTTAAGGGCCCGGAGATCACGAGCATCCAGTAGAGTTTTACAGCCTTGACCCTTACGCAGAGCGATTGTTCCAGATTCTCTGAATCTATTGATGATGTTATGCAAGGTTGATGATGATAACTTAAAAGTCTTTGTTTTTTACGCTGGGTAACACCATTCTGGTATTGCTGCACTGTCTTTCTGCGCAACAATGGTGGAATTGGTGATCCTCTTACCATCTTGGCTTCTGAGAGACACTGACACTCTGAGAAGCTCTTTTTATACCCAATCATGTTGTCAGAGTCAGAGTTTCTTTATTGTCATTCGCACCTCATGTGGTACATGTGGTGGAGCAAAATTATGTACACAGGGTCCCAGTTACATCCAACAATAAAATGCATAAGAAAAACAGTAATAACATCCAAGATATGAACCAAGAAAAACATCAACTAAACATACACCAAGCACCCATAACACAAAAACATTGAACATCAGCACAAACATGAACACGAGTCTGTGTGAGCGGATGTGCACACATGAACACATCAACATTGAAAGAGATCAGCAGCAACATGATGCGATCCCCCACAGCGATTACTCTAGTCAGAGACTCATGAGTCCAACAGCCTCAGACCTAATTAGTGTTATTGGTCTTCCAGCTGTTCGTTATATGCTCAATTTCCTTTTTCCAGCCACTTATTGCTACTTGTCCCAACTTTTTTGGGATTTGTTGACACTGTGAAATTTTGAATCAACATATTTTTCCTTTAAAATGTTACATTTGAGGCTGGTCCTCAACAATTTGTGCCACCTGGTGAGGGCTTCATTAGATCCAATGCAGTTTGCCTACCGGCCTGGCATCGGGGTGGATGACGCCATCATCTACCTCAGGCACCAAGCTCTGACCCACCTGGAGAAACCTGGAAGCACTGTGAGGATCATGTTCTTTGATTTCTCCAGTGCTGTCAACACCATCCAGCCAGGACTTCTGCGGGACAAGCTGGAGTTATCAGGAGTGGATCACCACATGTCCCAGTGGATATGGATTACCTCACTGGACGCCCACAGTATGTGAGGACACAGGGCTGTGTCTCTGACATGCTGGTCTGCAGTACGGGGGTCCCACAGGGAACTATGCTGGCACCGTTCCTCTTCACCCTCTACACTGCAGACTTCACCATCAACTCCCCACACTGCTATCTGCAAAAGTTTTCTGATGACTCTGCCATAGTCGGCCTCATCACAAGTGAGGACGACTCAAAGTACAGACAGCGGACTCAAGACTTTGTGGACTGGTGCCAGCAGAACCACCTCCTGATCAACGCTGCTAAAACTAAGGAGCTGGTTGTGGATTTCCGCAGGCACAGGTCCACCTCACTGACCCCGGTGAACATCCAGGGTGTGAACATCGAGATTGTGGACTTTTATAAGTACCTGGGTGTTCACCTGAACAATAAACTGGACTGGTCTCACAACACTGATGCACTTTACAGGAAGGGTCAGAGCAGACTCTACCTGCTGAGGAGACTGAGGTCTTTTGGAGTGCAGGGGGTGCTCCTGAAGACCTTCTTTGACTCGGTAGTAGCATCAGCCATCTTCTATGGTGTTGTGTGTTGGAGCAGCAGCTTATCATCAGCTGAGAAGAAGAAGCTAGATAAGCTCATCAAGAAGGCCAGCTCTGTGCTTGGACGCCCCCTCGACCCAGTGCAGGTGGTGGGAGACAGAAGGACTCTAGCTAAAATAACATCATTGCTGGACAACGTCTCCCACCCCATGCATGAAGCTGTTGCTGAACTGGAGACTCGTTCAGTGACAGATTACTGCATCCTAAATGCACAAAGGAGTGTTACCGCAGGTCCTTCCTCCCAGCAGCTGTTAGACTCTACAACCATCACTGCTCCCAACAAACTCAATAAGGAGTAAAAACATGCTGACCTCTGCTAAAACACACACTCTTCCTGTAATACTGTACTGTAAATAGTCTGCCATTCTCAATGTTCCAGTACATATTGAATATTATTATTGATATTGTTTATCTTATTTCTTATATATTGTATTGTTTATTAACATTTTAGGAACTTTTGTGTGAAATCTTTAAATCTTTTTATCTGTTGCTGCTGTTGCTGCTGATTCACTGGAATTTCCCATCCGAGGGACAATAAAGGCTGTTTCTATTTTATTCTATTCTATTCTATTTACTCAGATTAAACTTTTGACCTGTCATCTATGTTATATTACGAATAAAATATTGACATTTGCCATCTCCACATCATTGCATTCAGTTTTTATTCACAATTTGTTTAGTGTCCCAACTTTTTTGGAATCCAGTTTGTAGAAGTAGGTTGTAATGTTTTGTTTTTAAATTTTCTAATTTTCAATTTTATAAGGAAATAAATCTGGTTATGACATCACAAACCCAAAATACAAACCACGGTTTTGGTTGATGAAATCATAGACATAAAACACTTTTACAATAACTGTTTTGCAACTGAGATAATTAGCATTGCAACAAATTTACGAAACAAACAGAAGATTATTTCTGATCAACTTTTTAGTGCTGAACTGATCGTCACAGACCATGCTGGATTTAATAGCACATCAAGAACATTATCAAGAAAATGAACAAATCCTTCTGAATAAAACCAAGGTTTTCAGGGGTGGCCAATCCTGGTCCTTGAGGGCCACTATCCCGCATGTTTTACTTGTTTCCCTGCTCCAACATATCTGATTCAATGTTAAATTATCTCTTCATGTTCTGCAGAAGCCGTTAATCACCTGTTGATTCAAATGGTGTCTTGGAGCAGTGAACCTCTAAAACATGCAGGATAGTGGCCCTCAAGGACCAGATTGGACACCCCTGTAAGTGATGTTTGTAGTTATTATTAGTTTACTTGTTTAAAAACAGGGACTGTAAATATAAATAAAACACTTAGTAAATAAATGTAAATATACAAGTTTGCAGCCAAAGGCTGATCTGATCGATCGATCTTACACAATTTAGATTGATCTGATCTGTCTAGATTGCTGGACATGGGCACCGGCGACCCCCGTGACCCAAAATGGAAGAAGCGGGTAAAAGATAATGGATGGATGGATGATCTGTCTGTCCGTCCACCAAACCAACCCATCCACTTATACCATCCATCCATCCTTCCATCCATCCATCCATCAACCCACTTATATATGGACAGAATAATAATAATAATAATAATGTCATCACAATGTCAGCACTGTATGTTTCCATACAATGGCGAAATTAGTCTCTGCATTTAACCCATCCACCACCAGGTGGTGCAGTGGGCAGCTATTGAAAGCGCCCGGGGGACATTTTGGGGATGAGACGTGCTGCCCAGAGACGCCACGTGATGTGCAGTGACTGGGGATCGAACCTGGGACTCTCGGGTCCCAAGCCGGCTGCCCTGCCTCTACACCATCTCGGCCCCATATTGTGCCTAAATTGTATATTTAAAGATTTAATGATTTATTTAACAATTAAATGATACATTTAATTGTTATGTATGTATTGTGTATTTATTTCATTTTGTTACATTCCATCCATCCATCCTACAAATGTCGCGCGCATCTTTAAACCTTCAGGTCACGCGCTCATTCACCGTCTACGCAGACGCAGTCCGCTTTGGTGAGACAGACATTTTGCCAGTTCATCCTATTTCTTATCCATATTTATCTTGGAAGAACTCATAAAGTGTAGTTAACTTGTTAGCATAACCTAAAATGTGGTTAAACACTCACCTCGGCCGAAGTTCAGCCCTCACCTGTTGGTTTGTTTTTACTTTTTTATTTTTTTTTTACGTCAGCGCGACAGAAAGTGTCCGCGAAGCTAGCAAGCAGCGGCTAAATAACCCCACACAGACTACAGTGATGTATCTTATCATTGTGGTAGCAGTGTTGATTTCTTTTTACCATTTTGAAAGTGCTGCTGCTCTTGTGTATGTTTCTGCAGGTTGGCTCCCCTCAGGGTTTGGCGCTCTTACTGCGCATGCGCAGGACTGGATCGAGTGACGTGCAGCTGCAGGAGTTTCAGGTGTCATGACTAAAACAGGTTGAAACAAACAAGACATGCACCATACCCACACTGTACATGTTTATTCATTTATTGAAACGTTATTTACACATTTTCAAAAACACATGCTACTCAAATTCAGATGCTTCTAAACAATAAAAACAGTTTGTCTAAGAACAAAATTACCTGGACATTACATAAAATGTCTGCCAGGCTTCAAACACTAAGAAACATCCTTTTGTTTTAATTTCCGTTTGTATTTTATTTATTTTCACCCTATCTTTTGGAACAAGGCCTCATAAACTATGCAGTGGTGATTGTGCAGCATTTACCTTATAATGTAGTCCCGATGCTGCTAAAGCTCCTTTTGGTTTGTGCTTCTCTGCAGCTGTGTTATAGCACCCAAACATATGGAAAAAAGGGTCCCAGTAAAAAGTTTTTGTAATTTTCAGTCTTATCGTTTTCATACCTGACGTTGGTTTTATTTCTAAAGATCTTGCAATGCGCTGCGATGCAGTTTGAAGAGAACCAGTGCTACAAAGCGCAGCTTTGCATTTGAATATGCATAGTAAAAAAACAAGGTCTGTGTTAATCTATGCAAGAGCTACTATCAATCTCAGTGTCAAGTTTGAATTGCAGCAATCACCATACAGTATTTACATATTTCAGTAACTTGTTTAGCATCACTTTGCAGAATCAAAAGCAAGGAAATGTCAAAACAGCTATGCTGATTCAATATCCCTGCAAAAAAAAAAAAATCATTTTTATTTGTCACAATTAGATTTTTTGTCATTATTACCATTACCTGGCCTTGTCGACACAAGTATTTAAATAGTTTTAAAACAAATTTAAATGACAAAAACTTCAGTGGTCAAACAAAAACCCACTCATCAAACACCTAAAACCAAATCATGCCTTTAGACTTCTCTAAATCCAAATGATGGTTTGTGCATGGTTACAACATACAAAGCTTACAGAGCACCATGGCACTTTAAAGATACAAACCAGTGACCACAGTAACAATACTCCACATTCAACACCATAAACTGTAGTGCGCTGTGCATTAAGGCATGAGGTGTGGTTGATGCAACGCATCAGCAGGAGAATCACTGAGAAATGCAATTCACCGAGGAAGGAAATGTTTGTCCAGGAACTTTATCAGTCTCTGATACTAGAGACCTTCGTGCTGATAACTAGTTACACTCAACTTTGTCTGTTACAGGACATTAATTATTTCTTAAATCGTTTAGAACATTCATAAGTATCTCAAAGCTTGCGCTACAATATTTCTGAAAATGTTTTCTAATGATTAAACTTCTATGCTGCATTTGTACATTTTTTTTTTTCATTCAACCTTTATTTAGACAGGTAAATCCCATTGAGCCTCGAGTAATTTTTAATGACAAATCATCTGTTAAATAAGCATTAGAACGTTAATGTAGCTAATACTGGTTTAAAGCCACTGCTTAGAGCTCCACCTATTATCTATATTTTACATTTTCTTATTACATATTCTTATTTCTTTTTATGGTTACACAGTCAGGAGTTATTACTGAAAAGGAACTGGAAAAAAATTATTTTGTCACAATTTCATTTGAACATTTTACCTCTCATTTTATCTCTCATAAAGATGCTTTAATATAGTTTCAGTAATACCTCAACCAATGACAGGCTTTTACGCTGCATAATTAAATGCTCCTAATAGAAAAGGTTGTTTTTTATGACAATAGAATGATTTATGCATGTACCTTGCCATTTTAATGAAATTATATTGAAATATGTTTACTTTGCACAACATTCCTATTTTACAGTAAGTCAACATTTACTTTAAACTGCTCATGGTTTGCATCTATACTACAGTTTGTAACAGAGGTACCTGGAAATCAGCACAATATTTATTAGTATTTTCAGCAACAGTAAGTATCTGCACAGTAGTAAGTCAAGTTTATACCGTTTACTCAGTAATGCTGTAAGATTCTGCTCACTGCCTGCAGTGCACAACTTTGTGTAACAGCATATTTGATATATGCAAGTTGCTTGCAGGTATTCTGATATTTTACATGATTTACTTTAGATATATGTGATCTGCCTACTAATATATACCTACTACTCCAATAATTCTGCAGCCCGTCCTACAATCAAATACATTAGAAAAAAAAACATTATAATACATGAGGAATGAAGAGCAAATCCCGAAATGTGAGTAAATCTTTACAACCATGCCATATTTTTCTTTTATCCTCTCCTGTTTCCTTTTGTCGTATTAGAGTCTACAGTCTTTCATGCTGTGGTTGGAAGTTTATCTGTGTCTCTGCGAACTCCAGAAAGTGCTAAAGGTTCGTTGAAGCGACTTCACCCAAACACGAGGAAGCGTCTTCTCCAACGTTCCATATCCAGCTGCATCTGCCACCGGAGACGAATAATGCATTTGGAAAAATAAAATGCATTTCCTGTTGCTTTGCAGGATGACGGTGATCGTAAGGAAATGACCATTAAATGCCACAACTGCACATAAACTAATTTATATAGTAAGCCTCATTCAGCAACACATATAAAATATTAGTCTTACATTTTTTCTTGCTATTTTTCAGTCCCAACATTTTGTCTTGTGAACCTAAGCCCTTTAGAGACAACGAGCCACAAACAAAGCCACAACATTTAAATGGTGAACATAAATGTCACACCACTTTAAGCTTTATAAAACTTAATAAGAATACTGACAATTTGAATTAATGTACAAAAATAAATTGAAGTAGCATTTTCCCCCTTTATGCAAATATTAAAAAAATAAATAACTGAATTAATGACTTCTATAACTAGCGAGGCTAAGCTATTGTAAATCCTGTTAGAGATCGTATTGTACACAGTTTGGCAGATTGTCCAAACACTTCAAGGCAAAGTGTTACATCTCTGAGACTTCTGTTAAGTGTTGAATTGCTGGTTGTTACAGCTGGTATAGTTGTTGTCCACTGTTATCCTGCCCTTACCACTTGGTCAGATGATAGCAGATGAGCCGGATGGAGAGTTTGAGTTTGGGGAGGAAGGAATGTTCCAGAAGAGCCACTTGCGTTTACATTGCCGTCTCTGGTACAGATAGTCCTCCTTGTCCCGCTCTTTGCGAGCTCTTTGGTAGTGGTCGTCTTCTTTCAAGTACCAAACAGGCGGCCAGCGATGTTTCTCGAAGTATTCTTGGTTCTCTGTCACAGAAAACATTGTTTCAAAAAATTTTACAATTACAATTTGCAGTATTTTTTTTAAAGAACTTGCCTAAAAAGACATACAGTAGTCCCTCGATTATCGCAGGGGATCCGTACGCTGAAGACATGCAATAAGTGAAAAAAACGCGAAGTAGAAGTAGTATTATGAGTAGTAAGCAGTAGTTTATTTTATTATCTCTCTCTCATATATATATATATATATATATATATATATATATATATATATATATA